GTGAAAAATTGAAGCTACAAAAGTAGAAAAGCAGTAAAGTAGTAGTTTAATAGAGCATATAATTATCACAGATTACAAGGAAAGACAACGGTAGGCGCATAAAGAAAACAACGAACCTAGAACCTCGCAAAACAACGAAATACCCCGTCTTGCACACTAAACTCTGCATTTTGACAACAAACACGAGTATAACAACTTAAAGCAACAGTTCAGGAACGGTTTCGCGGGAAAAAACCACCAATAATGAAGTTGTAGATGAAAACCAGACGATTAATGTATGAAAAACTGGAAAAAAACGTCGGGGAGGGTCTTAGACAGGTACTCTCCCTCTGCCGCTCAGCAATGGATAAAGACGCACGTTGGACGAGTTGTCTGAACGTGCCCGCTGTAAACGCGCTCCATTTTTCAATCAATTTTCCCTGTGGTCCCAAAACGAGCACGATTGCCGACGCGTCCAATGACGGCCGGCAAGGGGGCGGGATTGGGGAAATCCCCAAGAACACCCATGTTTGAGGGACTTTCCACCCTGTTTTTGAGTTTCTGAGGTAAGTTCGTTTATTATTTCCACTGCATATGTTCTTCACTAGGGCTCGTGTATCCCTCAGTAGTAGTGGCATTGAAATTTTCGGACCCTCCCTGAACTGTTGCTTTAAACACATTACTGACACTAACCATAGGAGGTAGAGTACGATGAAGTTTAACCTTCCAAAATCTCCCATTAGATTTATTCTACTGTCTCTGGAGGACATCAAGGGAGCTGTTGATCCAAAAGCGGTGACGCTGGTGGAGTTGAGGCCTTTGATAACGACGAGTTAGTCGAAACGTCAGGCTCAATAAAGATTCCATCGTACAAAACCTGTGTGGCACAAAAGAATAAACAACTGTTCTCCCATTAGAGTCTCACAGATTGAAAGAGACGCTCTCTTCAAATTTGATGACAAAAAGAGTAAGTTTAAAAATGCTGGTTGCGCTATTTTGTACTTGAGAAACATGCAAACAGTGAACAGATCACCACCACCAGTGGCAGGGATGTTGTGGTGTACTGCAGCGTAACGTCAAAACGATTATTTTGTGATATCTGCAGCAACAGCTATACTATAATTACTATTTGTTTATTTATTTATTATTTTGTTTTAGTACTAATGGATGCCACTGACCAACATCTAATATTTCTGTAGTGTAAAAAAAGGTGATGAAGCGAAAGTCTATATTCTGCTAAATTTCAAACTGAATGAGCGACAGAAATATTATGAATTTTTACTCCTTTTTCAATATTCAATTCCAGTGGTGCCGGACAAAACACTAACTTTTCAATCTTTAACATTTTTTACAGCTTGGATGAAAACTAATGGTCACATGAAGGGCGGTGGTCGATTGCGAGGCAAAGAAGGCGGAGAGTACTATCAAACTTGGGCTAATTATTTCATCAGGTTACTGGTTTCTTATTCATTTTCGCAGAATTCGTTGAATGAAAACTGTGATGGGGAAGAGATTTTGTTCAAGTTAAGAACGAAGACGATTTTCCCGGGAACAGATCGGTTTCTTAGACTCTTTTCGCTCAACGCGACGAGCATCTCTGAGTGCTCGTGGTTGGTCGAGAGGAGAGTGAAGAAAGCGAGGCAACTTGCTCTCGTATCCACCTCTTGGGTTCTACATTCCTTTCTACCTTAGTGTACGCTTCAGATGCTAGGGATTTGCGCAGAACGAGCGCGCGCTTATCC